ATGTCTATTTCGTTGGGTCCTTCTTCTGGACTCAACTACATCCCTTCTAAACTTAGTGGGTTCTTGTGAATCGCAACAGGTTGGGGGAACCAAACCCCCAGACTCGCCGAGTCCCAAGAACGACTTGTCAATTCGACTATTTTCCAAGTCCATAACTCGATTTCTGATGTACAACTCTCATCCAAAAGGTAGACCTAGGCTCCTTAAGTCAATATAAAACGTAAAGTCATGAACTTTACGTAAATGCATGGGACTTTTATGCTCGAAGGACCAAAAATGGGATTCATTTCATACATAGGGTTCTCATGGCCATAAAGATGGCACCTTTATGCCATGAGGACCCTCCAAGGTTACAGATTTGCAGATATATTAACTTGGGACATCCAAGTCCCAAGGATCAAGCTTCTTGGACCCAAAACTCCATAAAATGACCACAAGGAGATCTAAGAAACTACAAGTCAAGTATGAAGCTTGATTACCAGAAAGTGAGGTGAAAATATTGTTATTCCTGGATCTACAATCTTCTCTTGAAGTCCTCCTTCTTCCTCTTCTTCACACAAAATTCGAATCACACAAGATTACTCAGTAATGACACTCAAACACTCATAAGGCTCAAGGGGGCGAGTTAGGGTTTTCTGGACGTTGAGGGAGTGATAAGGAGGCCACAAGGGTGTTATGTTTCTTTAAATAGGGGGGCAAACCCAAAAAATTAGGGTTTCCATAAGATAACTCCTACTCGCCGAGTCGGTCTTCTAACTCGTCGAGTAGGTCACTTAGTTCCCCGACCTGGAGTCGATCCTACTCGAAGAGTTGAGCCTCCAACTCATCGATTCAATGGGTAAAATATGAAGTTTGACTTGAATTAAATACGTACCTGAGACCGGGTGTTACACTTATACTCTAAACTTGTTGAAAACTCTTTTAAAGCTTTTATAAACTTCTTTTATATCAAATCATATTAGTCTATCTATTTACATATAAGTATAACTTAACGGACTTAGGACTACTCCTAGATACCTTAACTCCTGTTCCTTGTTTGGTTGTGGGCTTATGGTAGGATCACTAGTCCGAATGTCGGCTAAATCATATTTATACTTATTAAATGCATATACAAATATTAAACCCATTTTTTAAGTTACATACTTAACTTAGTTGCTTAAGGTGAGCAATTGAGTCTTTTCTACAATCAGTAACAATTCAAACAAACGTACTAGTAAACTATAAGTCTAGTTTAGAAGTCACTACACACTATTTATAGAATAAAGAAACGTACAAGAGTCAGTACATTCATACTATACATTACAATACATACTATTACAAGAACAGAAAAGAACATACATACTATAACAAGAACAGAAACGAACCTAGTTCATCTACCGTGGATCATACAACAAATGATGGAGCGGTTAACATCCATAATCTTCCAGTCTCTATCAATAACATTAGCTACGAGATCCCTGCACGCATTCAACGCGACCATCCAATAGAGAACGTCATTGGACAGTTGGGTGATGGTGTTCAAACGCAGAGTCAGAGTGGAGACGTTAATACGTGTCTCTACTCCTGCTTTATTTATCAGATAGAGCCCAAAAATGTCGAAATGGCTCTGAATGAGCCCAACTGGGTTGACGCCATGTATGAAGAACTTAATCAATTCGAGAAGCTCGGGGTTTGGAAGTTGGTGGATCTGCCAAAAGGAAAGAAATATCTTGATCCCAAATGGGTCTTTCGGAAGAAGGAAGATGACTCGGGTGTCATTGTGCGTAACAAGGCAAGATTAGTGGTTCGCGGGTTTTGGAAAATTGAGGGTCTTGATTATACGGAGGTTTATGCACCAGTGGCGCGCTTGGAGGATATTCGTATCTTCCTCGCATATTCTTCCTATATGAACTTTACTGTATACCAAATGGATGTTAAGACGGATTTCTTGTACGACAAGGTCAAGGATGAGATTTATGTTGACCAACTACCCGGTTTCGTTAACTTAAAGCTTCCCAGCCATGTCTACAAGTTAGAAAAAGCTTTGTATGGGCTGCATCAAGCTCCTAGAGTTTGGTATGACACCCTAACTCAACATTTGCTCAAACACGGCTATTCCCGAGGTACCATTGATCAAACCTTATTTATCAAACATGTCGGTCCGGATCAAATTCTTGTTCAAATCTATGTGGACGACATTATATTCGGGTCGACAAGCCAACAACTTTGCAAAGAGTTCGAAGACATGATGAAGAAGCGGTTCGAGATGAGTTCGCTTGGGGAAATGACCACGTTTTTGGGGCTTCAGATCCAACAATCTTCAACTGAAATCCTTATTCATCAAGCAAAGTATGTGGATGATGTGCTGGAGAAGTTCGGGTTCCGAGACGCAAAATCTGCTCTTACACCCATGGAGGAGAGACCTTTACTGGCTCCTGATCTTGAAGGTGAATCCGTAGATCAAATGTACTATCGATCAATGATCGGATCACTCATGTATCTGACTGCTAGTTGCCCAGACGTAATGTTTGCGGTTTGTCAATATGCTCGCTACCACACTAATCCTAAACTTTCTCATCTAATTGTTGTTAAGCGGATTTTTCGGTACCTCAAAGGTTGCCCAAAACTGGGTCTTTGGTATCCGAAAAATCAAGAATTTGACCTTTATGCTTTTGCAGACAGCAACTATGGCAGGTGCGAGCTTGATAGAAAATCGACTTCAGGAGGATGCCAATTTCTGGGTGATAGACTAGTCTCATGGCAGTGCAAGAAGCAGCATACCGTCTCCACCTCAACAACAAAAGAGGAATATGTCGCCGCATCTGCCTGTTTTTCTCAAGTCATATGGATCCAACATTAGCTGTTGGACTCTGGTTTGAATTTCCAAGAAACCCCTATATTCTGTGATAATGAGGCTGCGATCCAAATTGCCAAAAATCCGGTTAGCACTCAAAAACCAAGCACATCGACATAAAAATTCATTTCATCAAAGAATGTTATGAGCGCTCGCTCATTCGGCTAGAACAGGTCCGCTCTGATAATAATGTAGCGGATCTGTTCACCAAGCTGTTTAACAAAGCTCGATTCGATGTGCTGGTTAATTTTCTGAAAATGATTTGCTTTGAGGATTAAAGTTTTTTTTATTTAGTTTAGTTTAAATTTGGGCATTTTTTTTTCTCTTCTATGCACAAATTTAGGGGGAGAAATAACCAAAAAAAAAAATCTAAAAACAATAGAAAATCAGAAAATCCAAAAACAATAGAAAATCAGAAAATCCAAAAACATTAGAAAAACAGAAAAAAATCAATGATATGTATTGGGAAGTGATATCAACAAGTGATAACGGGCAATCTGAGTATGTGTAAGGTACCAAAGCTGAATTGTCTAGTCTCTGTGTTCGATGCGCTGGTAGGCATGAAGAATTTAATGGGCTTGACTAGGCAAAGATGAACCTAAGAAATCAAATGACTTGACAAATCTTGACCTAGGTAGATCCGTTTAGCCTGACAATACGATGCTCGGATAGGTTGAGCAGGGAGATATACATGAGAATCCACCAGTCACATTAAAGAGCCCATATCTAGAATTGTTGCTTAACTTTTCCTCAATGTACGGATTCTGTCCTTAATTCCAGTGTTGACGGAGCGACTGGGGAATTCCGATAAACTAGGTTTGTAGAAAATTATTTTCTTTCTTACTTACTGTTAGTCATATGTTGCCTCCTTTACGTGATTGGAAGAGATCCAACCTGGACTGAAACATATGCAAATCTATCTCTCTGCATATTATATCTATGAAATTCTTTCTATCTGTTAGCCATATGCTATTTCCTTTGTGTGATTAACAATCCAACCTGGTACACAGCATATGCAACCTTCTACTTCTCAATCTCTCTAAAAACTATAATTAATAATAATTTGAATCTATCCTCTCTATGAATAATAGTCTCCTCACCTAAAGTAAGGAGTATCTCGGAAGTTCTTGATTATTGGGGTATATCAGGAAGCGGGAAACACGTTATAGTACAATTAAAATTAAACAGTTATAGATTGTCTGTAGATCTCGTTGCTCAACTTAGGTGGACAACATTATCCTTGGTCGTTGTCAGATGAATGGTCCTTAGGAAGTTTTATCTAGGAACATAGGATCAACTTGTCTTGTCACTTATAGCATGTCTAAAATTTTTCAAAAATTTTCGTGTGTAAGTGGACCACAATACCGGCGATCAACCAGATCTATTCATGAAGGGAAAGGTACTGACAAACAGATTAAGATTGTCCAACAACTTTGATCCCACATCACAAAAGGATAAACAATTTAGAGGATTAAAATTAGAACTAATTTCTATTATTATTAGAATTTTCATTTTATTTTATTTTATTTTATTTTATTTTATGTTAAAAAATTTAGGAATAATAAATTTTAAAATTTTTTAATCCTCAAAGTGATTTATTTTTGAAAAATGTTGGAGTATTGGGTTTAGGATTTAAATAATGAAGGGAAGCCCAAAATTTTGAAAAGGTTTATAAGGGAGTGTGCGGTTCTTTTGCTGTCACTGTTTCCCTCTTCAAAAATTTTCAACCGCACACGACTTTTGCTACTCACTCTCTCTCTCTCTCTCTAAAAAACCTCCAAAAATCTTCATTTTTCAAAAATTGAAGCTTCATACCGGTAATAATTGCAAAAACGACTCCCATAATGCATCTTTAATGCAAAAAACGATCAAAAACTTGTGTTTAATCGAAGATTTTGTTTTTCGATGTTGTGTGCGACCGCACACGGCGAGTACATCCGCACACAACGTGTGCGGCCGGACTGTGTGCAACTACACAAACTTGTGTGCGGCCAGTGACGTGTGCGGCTGCACACACTTCTTATGTATTGAATCTAATGTGCGGTTGCATACATTCTCATGTGCGGTTGCACACTTCATTGTGTGTAAGCAATTATGAACAGTTGGAACAAGTATTGTTAAAATTATTTTTACCCTAATGTATGCATGTGTTTCTTTTCAGATCAAAATGGGAGATCTAGAATTTGCAAAAGTTCACAACTCAGTTATCTTTCTTGAAAACTCTCCAGCAGCTCACAATGATCTAAAATTCATTGTTGAAGGTCTGAAGAAATGTTGTTTGGTACATGCATTGATAACAAGCCCGACAATTTATCAAAACTTGATCAAAAATTTCTGGAGGAGTGCGGTCGTGAAGAAAGATGACAAAGATGAAAAGTACCTTGAAGCCATAATACAAGGAAAGAAGATTCATGTTTCAGAAAGGATTATTCAAGAATCACTACAAATTGATGACAAACCAGAATATTCAATGGAGATTGATGTGCATCAAACTCAATATGTTCTAGACCACATGGGGTATGAGGGAACATATCCTCCCACCATCAAGAAACTGCTTCCTCCAGGGATTCAAGTTATCTACCCACAAGGGAATGGGACCTGGAAAAGCTGGTCGAGGGTTGTTGTTCGGGGCTTGACCTACTGGAGGTAGGTTGTTGACTTCGGGCTCAGAGTCTGATCCATCTGAGAAGCCTTCAGCTTGATGATCATCCAACGGAATTTGGTGTTCATCATCAGACTCTGCTTCGAGCCATCCTGCGTTGCCTTCATTTGGAAAGTACGGGTCGCCGTGATGGAATCCAGCCATTTAAATCTACACGAGAAGAGAGGTATAAAGATATAGTATATATGTAGTTAGTAGTACAAAATACACCTATAGTATTTTAAGTTTAGGTTCTACTGATCTTTTTGTGGCATTGTTGGTAAGTTTTTAGACTTGTTAACACATCACAACCATTCTAGGGCATATGCTAATCACTCCTCGGACCAGCATAGTTGATCAGGCTATGCCATTCCCATGACTGACCATACATCCCCGAGCTTACCTGTGATATTTAACAATCATAATACTTTTGTTCTTGTCGTTGTGACACTGGTTCTAGTATGAATGCATACTAGTATACTTAATTAACTATTTTAGTATTTAAAGTATAGAGTCTTGGTCAGAGTGTTTTAATCCCAAATGGGTTTATAGTTTAGTATATCTTTTATGGGTTGATATACTTGATTCACTATAAACAATGCTCTGATACCAATCTGTCACACCCCAAAACCAAGAACGGCGGAAACGTTCTGGGGCGGAGGACGTCATGTAAAGTATCACAACACAGTAAATGTAAATAAGCAAACAACATCATCCATTGCATTAAATATATAATTTTAATACAAGCGTTTTGTGTACAGTATGGACACCAAAAATAATGTATATCAAAATAATAAGATGAGTCTTGGATGTGCTCCATCTTCTCAAAAGCTGGCCTCGGTACCTGTCTACTGATGACCTGAGAATACAAGTTATTTTGAAAGAGTTTATCAGCATTAAGCTGGTGAGTTCATAAGTATTTTAGTGTCGGTATTTGTCATCTAAAAATGTTTGAACATGTAATAAGTATAAGTTTGTAAACTGTATGTAAAGGTTTGTAATTGTTTGTAAAAGTTTGAATCTCTCAGAAAAACCTATATTTTCTATTAAAGTAGCCTTCTACCAAGACTTAACTGTTTTGTATGCTAGTTGATGTAAAAGTGTGTAATTTCCCAAGCGTAACTATCATTTAACAAAATATAGTTTCTACATTAACGTTTAAGTGAGGTTATCACTAAAATATGTAATGGGTAAATCATTGTAGTACTGTAGTTTTGTATTATAAGAACTACTGTTGTACTAACTACCTTAAACCGGATTTATATTAAGGTATAATGTGATAAATTGCACCATGCTATCGACTGGTAACAACGACATAATGAATGGTCGTAATAACGGAATGACGTTTGGCACCCGCAAACCTGCAGGTCTGACTGTAGCTAGCAGCAAGGTGTAGGATAGTCAATCCAGTATAGATCTATACGTAAACTCAGCTCTCCCTCCAAGAGAATTCTGGCTACAACTCGGGCCATGACATTTAAGGCATGCTCCGACATAGTGGATCACAATTGTTAACGTGTTCATGTATATGTAATGTTTCTCGTTCTAGTATAGTTGTATATGTTCTGTTTCTAGTATAGTTGTATATGTTCTGTTTCTAGTATAGTTGTATATGTTCTGTTTCTAGTATAGTTGTATATGTTATGTTTCTAGTATCGTTGTATATGTCCTGTTTCTAGTATAGTTGTATATGTTCTGTGTCTAGTATAGTTGTATATGTCCTGTTTCTAGTATAGTTGTATAGTTGTATATTTGTAATCACTGAGTAGCTCGACCCACCATCGTTGTCTCATGTTGAGCTCCTTCTGATCGAATATGTGTTGTAAACTGTTGTGGTCGGTAAAGATAGTGCTTTTCGTTCCATACAAGTAATGTCTCCAGATCTTCAGAGCAAACACCACTACTCCCAGTTCAAGATCGTGGGTCGTGTAGTTAACTTCGTGTGTCTTCAACTGTCTAGAGGCGTAGGCGATGACCTTACCTCGCTGCATCAGAACACACCCGAACCCTTGATTCGATGCATCGCAATAGACTATGAAGTCTTTTATCCCTTCAGGGAGAGATAGTATTGGCGCGGTGCACAAGGATCGCTTGAGCGTTTGGAACGCTCTCTCTTGTTTCTCTTCCCAGTCAAAGGCCACACCTTTCTGGGCCAGGGTTGTAAGAGGTTTCGCTATTCGGGAGAAGTTCTGAATGAATCTGCGGTAGTAGCCAGCAAGACCTAGAAATTGACGAATTTCTGTCGGCGTCTTGGGTGCTGACCAGTTCTCAATGGCTTTAATTTTGGATGGGTCCACGTGGATTCCCTCTTCGCTTACCACGTGTCCTAAGAATTCGACTCTTCGGATCCAAAATTCACATTTCGAGAACTTCGCATAAAGATTCTCCTTTCTTAAAGTTCCGAAAACTTGTCGCAAGTGATCGCCATGCTCTTCCTTACTTCTGGAGTAGATCAGGATGTCGTCAATGAAAACAATGACGAACTGATCCAAGTAAGGTCGGCATACTCTGTTCATCAGGTCCATGAAAACTGCGGGTGCATTGGTCAATCCAAATGGCATCACCACGAACTCGTAGTGTCCGTAACGAGTTCGGAAGGCTGTCTTTGGCACATCCTCCTTGAGCACTCGTAACTGGTGATATCCGGATCTCAGATCAATTTTGGAAAAATAGTTCGCCCCATGCAATTGGTCAAATAGATCGTCTATGCGAGGCAGAGGGTAACGATTTTTGACCATCAGTTTGTTGAGTTCTCTGTAGTCGATACACATACGGAATGATCCGTCTTTCTTCTTAACGAACAAGACCGGTGCTCCCCAAGGTGAGAAGCTTGGTCTTATGAAGCCCTTGCTGAGTAGTTCGTTAAGTTGACCAGATAATTCCTGCATCTCTGCTGGTGCTAAGCGGTAGGGCGACTTGGCTACTGGGGTAGCTCCTGGGACTAAGTCGATTATGAACTCGACCTGTCGTTGCGGAGGTAATCCAGGTAGCTCTTCTGGGAAAATGTCGGGGAAGTCGCTCACTACTGGAATGTTCTTTAGTTCTTTCGTTTCGAGGCTCGTGTCGACGACGTGAGCAAGGAATGCATGGTATTCTTTGCGCAGATATTTTTGTGCTTGAATACTTGATATAATGCGAAGACTCGCACCAGGTTTGTCGCCGTAGACTATAAGAGTTTCGTTAGACGAGAGGTTTAAACGGACTGCTTTCTCGAAGCACATGATGTCGGCGCGATGAAGACTCAACCAATCCATGCCGATGATAACGTCGAAGCTTTTTATTGAGACCGGCATGAGGTCGATTGGAAATGAATGGTTATCTAGAGTTAGGGTACATCCTAAGTATATGTCACTAGTGTTTTTCTGTTTTTCCATTTGCCATTTCTACTGTGAATTGTTCCTTAAGTGCGTGTGGTTGTTGTTTAAGCATGCGAGCAAATTTGTGGTTCACGAAGCTTTGCTCCGCTCTACTATCGAACAGAATGCATGCATAGGAGTTATCGAGGAGGAACGTACCAGTCACCACTATCGGGTCAGCAACTGCTTCCCCGTGGCCTATAGCTAGTACCCTCCCTGCTCCTCCATCATTTCTCGCTTTGCGGCAGTCCCTCTTATAATGGCCTGTTTCGCCACATCCATAACAAGTCGGGCTTGCGCCGGAGCCAGGGACTTGTGTGATCGGTTGTGCCGGGAACTTACAGAAACGGGGACGGTGTGTCCTTTCCTATTGCAGTTAGAGCACTGCATTTCACGGCAGGGGCCGTTGTGGTGGAAGTTTCATTTGTTGCACTTTGGCAAACTTCCAACATACTGCTTCATCGGAGCAGTAGAAGTAGCAGGGGTTATTGCGGCATGCACTGCTACAATTTGCTGCTTTTTGGCAGCTCGCTGCTTCTTCTTGTCATCCCAGAACTTCCGCTTGGTGTCAGCGGGTTTGGAGGGTTCCGAGATGGCTAGGGTTATTGTTGTTGCTGCAGGGGTTTTGACACCATGGTCAATGAGTCGTTGTGCCAGTCGCTTGGCACTGTCGAAGGTAGTGGGGTTTGATGATAGGACATTCCCCTGATACGGAGGCACTAGCCCCCATATGTACCTTTCGATCTTTTTCCCTTCAGTGGGAACCATATTAGGGCAGAGGGCCACCAGTTCGCTAAATCGGGCAGTGTAAGCAACAATGTTGGTGCCCTTCATGGTCAGGCTCCAAAGCTCCTGCTCTAGTTTCTGGATCTCGCCCCTCGAGCAGTATTCCTCAATCATGAGGTCTTTCATCGTTTCCCAGCCTATGTCGTTGGCCACAACGAGTGTTAGAGCTTTAACGTGGCCGTTCCACCACATTAGGGCTTTTGCTTCAAAGGTGCATGCGGCATATTTGACTTTGCTCGCAGCAGGGCATGAACAAATTTCGAAGACTGATTCAGTCTTCTCTAACCATTGCGAGAGGGCAATGACTCCGCCGGTCCCATGAAAAGACTTCGGCTTGCAGTTGGTGAAATCCTTGTAAGAGCACTCTCTCGAGCGCACAAGAGTTTCCACCGGAATAGAGTTTACAGGGGTTCCACCTCTGCTGGCATCAGTAGAGTGATACTGTGCCATGGCAGTTGCCACTGCTGCAGCTACGGCAACATTTAGGGCTGCTGTATCGATGACCGGAGGTGGAGGAGGCGGTGTAGATGTAGGGTTATTCCGGGGAGATTTGCGAGGAGGCATTTTCGGCTATAAGTTTATAAAGATGAGAAAAGTGGTAAGAATCAATTTGTAAGTAATGTGAGAATGACACATGGACTAACTAACCATAGCCCAACAATTGAATGAGTGTTTGAGATCATAACAAGAAAGATGTGTAGGAAAACCCAAGTGTAAAGATTCTTCCCACAAAGTAGGTAGTTGTCAATTATACTGTTATTACTGATGTAACGAGTTCAATGAAAATTGACCTAACAGTAGGTCTTACATCATACCATACGGAAAGCTTGACGGTTCTTAGATTCCTAATTAGAGTACTGAAAGTTA